GACATGATTATTTTGTATTAATATGTGCCTTTAAGCGTCAATTCATGTTCAAGTGTTGGAGAGACTGGCCAACGAGATGGCCATGCGAAGGCGGAAATCCTCAAAGGTCAGCAAGTTTTCCCGAATAAATGTTTGATTATGAAAAAATGGGGATATTCACACGAAAGTGATAACATATCGAAAGAAGTGACTTGCAAGGCGATGGAAAAAATGGGTAAGTACTAAGCAATAAATGAGGAAAATTAAAATGAAAAAAGCACGTAAATGTACAGATGAAGGAAATATTGCAAATGTGAAAATACTAAGACACTGCTGAATCTAACATTAGTCAAAAAGGAAAAATTGATATAAATAAATGAGCCTAACCTTAACAACTGGTATTGCTTGATTTATAATTGTTGGGTTGGCGAATCCCTTTTTGGCAGACGTGGATTGGAAAACGCTTTTGATGTTGTTTCTCTCCGTTCAGCGAGTAGCCCTCGAACAATACCAACTGCCGGTTTGTAGGCTTTGGAGACATTCAATCTGGTTCAGGCGTCCAGCGGAATTGGGAATTAGCAATTGGAAATTGGGCATTGGCAATTGACATTTGGGAATTAGCAATTGGCAATAGGCAAGTGAGAATTGGCAAATGGGCATTAGGCATTTGCAATTAAGTATTGGCAATTGTCGTTTGGCGATTGTTAATTGGTATTAGGGAATTGGCAATTGGCAATTTGCAATTTATAATTGTCGTTTGGCAATTGGTAATTAGACATTATGAACTTGCAATTGGCAATTGGCAAGTGAGAATTGACAATTGAGAATTGGAAATTTGCAATTTGCAATTGAGAATTGAGAATTAAAATTTTGGCAATTGGTAATTGGTATTTGATAATTGGCAATTGGCATTTGGGAATTGGTAATAGGCAATTGAGAATTGAGAATTGGTCATTAGGCATTGACAATTATCAATTGGAAAATGGCAATTGAGAATTGGCATTTGGTAAGTTGCAATTGGCAATTGGCAATTATGAACTGACATTTGGGAATTGGCAATTTGGCATTGACAATTGACATTTGGTTATTGGTAATTGGTAATTAAGCAGTAAGAATTGGCAATTGAGCATTAGGCATTGGCGATTTGCAATTTGCAATTCAGTATTGGCAATTGGCAATTAAGAACTGGCATTTGGTAATTGGCAATTAAGAATTGTCATTTAGCAATTGGTAATTGGTATTTGGCAATTGGCAATTTGCAATTTGCAATTTGCAATTGGGCATTAGGCATTGGCGATTGGTAATTTGCAATTTGCAATGTGCAATTTGGCATTAGGCATTGGCAATTGGCAATTTGCAATTGAGTATTGGCAACTGGCAATTGGCAATTAAAAACTGGCATTTGGGTATTGGCAATTGGCAGTTGAGAATTACGAATTGGCAATTGGAAATCGGAAAGTGGCAATTGAGAATTGGCAATTGGGAATTTGCAATTTGCAATTGGGCATTAGGCATTGGCGATTGGCAATTTGCAATTGAGTATTGGCAACTGGCAATTGGCAATTAAAAACTGGCATTTGGGAATTGGCAATTGGCAGTTGAGAATTGCGAAATGGCAATTGGAAATTGGAAATTGGCAATTGAGAATTGGCAATTTGCAATTTGCAATTGGGCATTAGGCATTGGCGATTGGCAATTTGCAATTGAGTATTGGCAACTGGCAATTGGCAATTAAAAACTGGCATTTGGGATTTGGCAATTGGAAATTGGAAATTGGCAATTGAGAATTGGCAATAGGGAATTTGCAATTTGCAATTGGGCATTAGGCATTGGCGATTGGCAATTTGCAATTGAGTATTGGCAACTGGCAATTGGCATTTAAAAGCTGGCATTTCGGGATTGGTAATAGGCAATTGAGAATTGAGAATTTGGTATTGGGCATTGGGAATTACTAATTGAAAAATGGCAATTAAGAATTGGCATTTGGGAATTTGCAATTGGCAATTGGCAATCGGCAATTGGGCATTGACAATTGAGAATTGGCAAATGGCAGTTGAGAATTACCAATTGGAAATTGGCAATTGGGAATTTGCAATTTGCAATGTGCAATTTGGCATTAGGCATTGGCGATTGGCAATTTGCAATTGAGTATTGGCAACTGGCAATTGGCAATTAAAAACTG